AAGCATATGATAAGGTCCCAGTGACATGTGATTTATAGTTGCAGGTGGAATTCTAGTGCTTATGTTGCTGTTTACTAGTTAGTACTATCTGCTAGTCTTATGTATGGAAATGGAACCATAACAGTGGCATGTGATTCAGAGTTGCAGGAGGAATTCTAGTGCATATGTTGCTGCTTACCATCAAGTACTACATGCTAGTTTTATGTATGGAAATGGAACTATAGTATTTTCCTCTACTCCTACATGCTTATATACTTTGAGCATGGACATATTTGTATTTTGGTAACTTTTATAATGCATACATACTCCAACACAACACAGTGCTTCATGCAGCATTTGTACATTTAGGAGTTTTCTATTGAAGGTTGTGACTCATGAGTCATGCTTCAACAGAGCACTGTTCCACGCAGCACTTCTACATTAGTTATAACTTCACCAGAAGAATTCCCATAAATTTTGCTTATTGTTTCTTCTCAATCTTCATCCCCTCCTTGATGAATCCTTTCATGACTATTCGGTCATAAGTAACTGCTAACGCTACCATGATTCTCCATGTATATTTCAAATTTTAAAAAGATTTATAAATCTTAATATCATTTTATTCTTGATATGAGATTCATTTTCTTTTCACTACTGATCTCATGATTTTAATATAAAAGTGAACATACAGCCTTTCTAAGTCATTTGATTATGAGAATTAAGGCTTAATTAATTCTTGTTATGGTAAGTGCTCATTGGAAGTGATTCTTGAAATCAACATGCTATAAAAAAAATTGAATAAGTGAAGTATAGTTGATCTTATATGAATTTTTTTCTTTTTTTTTGACTTAGGGGAATTGTTAGGGACAAGGGGTGTAGTGTATGTGAAATAGATCTTAAGACTTTCACATCTAAACAAGTTCCCACAAAAAGAATGGCCAGTAGGTCAGTGCTAGATAGTTAATCTTATATGAATTTATTTATAATAAATTAGTAAGATAATTGATTTCAAAATTCATGATAAAGAATAAAAAACAATAGAAAAATGCAACTCCAATGTTGATGGCTATCAAAATTTCTTCTAATTAAGTGATTAAACCCTAATATTTGCCCATCTATGCCATACTCTATCTAAGACAAGTTATAATATCAAAGGGGAAAGAGAAAAACATCAAATTTCTTTCAAAAATTAAGAACTAAATAGCCAATCAAAAATTTCATCGATATATATACCCAAATGAAATCCACAATGAATGATTAATACAGGGAAAATATGTAAATAAAGATGCTAATTTTATTTTTTTTATTTAAAAATGTTAATTTTATCAATTTTTAAATAAATATATTAACTTTTTTTTGGCTATTTAAAGATATTAATTTTTTATTTTTTTATTTAAAGTGTTAAATTTCAATTTATTCTATTTATAGATACAATTTTCAATTTATTCTATTTAACAATATCAATTTTTAACTTTTTCTAGTTGAATAATAATGTTAATATGATAGATGGATTTTTTAACCAAAATATTAAAAGTTGACATTTTTTTATTTACAAATACAACTTTTAACTTTTTCTATTTAAAAATATCAATTTTTAATTTTTTCTAGTTGAATGTGAATGTTAATATGACAAATGAATTTTTTAACTAAAATGTTAAAAGTTGATATTTTTAAATAGATAAATTAAAAATTAATATTTTTAAGTAAAAGAAATTTAAAGTTGGTATTTTTATTTAAAAAT